GCTGTACTCATCCTGTGCTGACAGCTGGCATGTTAAGGTTTCCTTCTAAATATTGTCCACATGTTCTCATAGAACTGACCTGGACAGGCCTAATGGTGCTTGGTGGTATTTGGGAGACAGAAATGTCAATGAACAGATTTCTCCCAATAGTCAGATTAGTTTCTGCTCTGGCAATGGGTCCTGGACATTTTGCCTGGAAATGTAGATTGAGTGTCATGGATACTAAAAATAAATGTAATATCTGCAATACCACACTTTTCTTGTGAAGCCTGTGGAAAATACTTATGAATTGTGTATAGTGAATGATGATGAAAGCTGGGAGCCACAGTTCAGCAATATGTAGAGGGCCAAACCTGATTTATAGGTTTAGATTAATGAAACCATACCCCTCCACACCCTTCATTCCCTGTTCCATCTGTGTTTAACTGCAATTCTCACAACACCAGCATGGGGAGATAGATTTTCGAAGCAATATTAGATTGGAAGCATCCATCTTCAACGGACTGTAACGATGCATTTGTTTTACAAAAGATCTGCTCTTAGTGATGAAAACTTACAGAGCTAGGTTGTTGACATGGATCAATAAGCTTGCTTGCAGTTCTTTGCTTCTTGGAGGCATGCCTTTGGGAACTGTCAGGATGTATGCCTTTAACACAACTTCACTGGTGATTGTAGGTAATAGTGAACAACGTGCTTTGCCTGCTTTGTGTCCTTCTCTACAAAGTAAGGCATTAGATGTGTGATGCCACCCTCACCCAGCCACTGGTTGCAGGGGCATTTTTGCAGTTGGCGTTTGGGCTGGGCACTCACATTCACTGGCCACAGGCTGTCACTACAAAAAGCTTCTAGAGAGCAAGGCTAGCTGTGTAATGGGGTGGGGGGCACCTGCTGGAGAAGAATGAGTGAAGTGGAACCCCAGGGATCATGCCTCTGATGGCTCACTGGTGGGAATTTCCTTGATTCTGGCAGTGACTGTGCAGAATCAGTGATCAGTCAACAATTCTGCCCTTGAGACATAATGGCACATAGATATATGGGGCAAGGAGATATAATAAGCTGCTTAAATGGTACCACAGTTATTATATAGGGTTTGCTTTAACCTCTTTGCATCAATCATGCAGTATCTTATGAGCTAAATCAGAGATGAAGGCATGCCAACTCAATTCTGACTCAAAAGGTGTACAGCTTTAAGAACAAAGTGCATGTAGGAAGAGCAATGTTGGAAATCTCTAAAGTTCTTATTTCTTATCCCCACTCTTTTTTTAACGTTCAGATGATTCACTGTTGAAACTGTGTATAATAAATATATAGTGTTTTCTAAAGTCCTATGAGTGAAGGTTTTGCATGAAAAAGTACATGGAGACCACCCATTCAAAGAAAATGATTTGCAGACTTAGGGAATGATGTCTATTTCTAATGATTACAGATGATATAATAGAGCTTGGGGTTGCAAGTAGCGTTAAGTATTGCAAATGAATTATATTTTAGAAGCTGAAGTCTTGAAAGCCCAAATCTACTCAACTCTCTCCCATGTTTTAGAACTGTTCTGTGCTCATTTCATATCATTTCCTTTCACTTTGCCTTTGTCTACAGACATGCAATAATTAAGGAGTGGAGTAATTACTAACTTTCATATGTAAAAGTCAACTTTAGCCTGTATCCCCCTCTAAGTGTAAATATGCGGTTTGTTATGGTTCCTGGCCAGCCAGCATAACTTATCTTACTTGCTATAACATGCATGTCACACTTGGTCATAGTTTAGGCCAATTGAATAGTCAGGAGAGAAAAAAACAACTTCCCATAGGGTGCATTAGCAGTGCTCTCACGCTATACACCTCCAGATTTGCCAGAATGAAACAATAATATAAGTGTGGGAAGTTGCTTGCATACATGAACTTGGCTGCTTTATATAATAGGCAGAGCCAAGCTCCCTGGTAAAGGGCGTCTTGTGGGGGTTCAGAAAAACTGGAGTTATAACAGAAGGGTGGTCTCTAGCCTCATCCAAATGCCTATGGTGAAAACTGTCATAGTATTTTAAAAGCTATTGCTGTAAGTTCATCCATGCTGTGACTCAGGTTTCCAAAGTGTATTAGAAGTGGTACACGCATCATTGAAGTAAATATAGAAGCTAACTGAGCATGCTATCTCCCTTTGGTTGTGCTCTTACCTACTTGCATATTAGGTAAGAGGTTTCCATACTAAAAAAAAAAAGAGCAAAACCTCAGCACACATGCACTTTTTATCCATACCTTCCTTACTAAAAAGAAAGAAGTTTTTTTAAAGTTACAAAGTTAAATTACTTCAGATCTAGTAAGATAATTGTACTGAAGAGAGTATACCAACTTTTGTCTGACTTTCTTCCCACTTTAGTGGAGCCATGTTAGAAACTTGGAGATTTCAGGATATCAAGCTAGTTTTATGACAGAAAAGGATTTACAGACTCACAAAATCATAGAGTTGGACAAAACCACAAGGGCCACCCAGCACACCCCCCGCCATGCAGGAACTCACAATCAAAGCACCTCAAACGGATGGCCATCCAGCTTCTGCTTAAAAACCTGCAAAGAAGAAGGCTCCACCACACTCCGAGGGAGTGTGTTCCACTGTCAAACAGCTCTTACTGTCAGGAAGTTCCTCCAAATGTTGAGGTGGGATCTCTTTTCCTCTAGTTTGAATCCATTGCCCTGGGTCCTAGTCTCTGGAGCTGCAGAAAAAAAACTTCTTCCATCCTCAATATGAATCCCTTCAAATATATCCCCTTTCAACCTTCTCTTGTCCAGGTTAAATTTATCCAGCTCCCTAAGTCTCTCTCCATAGGCATGGTTTACAGACCTTTTACCATTTTGGTCATCCTCCTCTGGACACACTCCAGAGTGGTTTTTGACACAAATTGCCTTGAAATGGTACAAATTTCTTCACCTTTGGTTTGCATGATTATAAATCAGAGCTTGGAAAAGTTACCTCCTTGGATTACTATTTCCACAATATCCCAACCAACATGGTCAAGAAAGACAGCTTTAAAGGCTTATTGCCTATTAGTCTGACAGCATCCTTTTGGTGATTCTAGAGCTAGTGTGGTGTAGTGGTTTGAGCATTGGATGATGACTATAGACCAGGGTTTGAATCCCAGCTTTGGCCATGGAAACCCACTGGATGACTTTGGGCAAGTCATTCACTCTCAGGCTCAAAGGAAGATAAAGGTAAACCTCTTCTGAACAAATCTTACCAAGAAAACATCATGATAGGGTTGCTTTAGGGTTGCCATAAATTGGAAACAACTTGAAGGCACACAATAACAAGTGATATAAATCACACAAACTGCAAAAAGGAACTTGTCTCTGTATGGTTCATATCAATGGAGCAATATGGGCAGCTGCTTCCCTTGTGACATGCCATGTTGTTGCATTTCAAACTGTCACCCATGTTTCTGTTTGGGTAATGGTAGTGATTGTTATTTGTTTTTTTAAAGACAACAGTTGTTTAGATAACAGAGTCCTGAAAAATTGAGAGTCATAAAAATCTTTTTTTTAAAAAAAAAATGCATGCTGGTTGTATAGGAATCTGGCATTCTAAATCCAAAAATGACCTCAGATTTGCTCGATCATTTACAGTATTTTTACAACTTGCATTCACATGTGTTAGAACATGTGACTGAATGAAATGATCTTATAAAGAGTAAGAAAGGGGTTAAAGTCTTTCAATAGACTTTCAAAACAGTTTAATTTTCTGATATGCAGCATAAAAATCCATACAAAAGAACTAAAGGAAATTTCACTGGAACATCAGCATCCATACTTAATTAAAGTTGAGTAACAAATGAATTGACATAAATATCAGATTTGTGAAAGAACTGCGTGTTCATACATTTTTATTATTTTTCAAATTCAAAGCCCCTAAAATTAATTAAAAACAGCTACAATATTGAAAAGAAGTTGTTGTTTTTTACATTGCAGGCCTGTGCAATCAGTGGAATAAGGGCAGGACTGGTATGCTCCTCAAAAAGAAGTACAGTCATATTTTGAGGGTGTGTGTGCAGTGACACTAACTGGATATTTTCATTCGCTGCCATTTGGAACATAGGAATGAAACATTTCTAACAGGATAAGCTCTGATACAGTCCAGCCATTCCCAGGTCAAAACACCATTGAAAAAGAGCTGCAAAGCATAGAACAAGTGCCAATAAGCAAGGACCAAAGTAGATCAAATGTGGATAGTTTCCAATGACATTTTAGGCATTGCTTTAAAATGCTAGAAGCAGAGGGGTCGGACTGGGCCATCATGGGCTTAGCAAAGGGATGGTTAACTCTTCCTTCTATGACATTTCCTCAATTTGAAACTGCTTGAATCTGGTCTAATACCCACAAATCTGCTCTATAACCTTATGATAGTTGCATATTTGTTACCCGAAGTACCTGTTAATTTCATATGCTACCCATAGTTCCTCT